CGTATAGGGCCTGTACCTTTACTTGGGGTGGCTAGTCGTTCTACGCGTCAGTAATTACTTCCTCCCGAAGGAGTTTGATACCAGTCAACCGACTCAGAAGGGGTCCGGGGTGTTAGGAATGGTACCGATTGGCTTGTACGATTTTTAGGCCATTAAAGGTTTTTTTGTATTTTCCCAATCTAACCATACCCAAACACATTTCAGCTCCATCATTCCTTCATCCTGATGTGTTGGCATGTGTCGAAGATCTTGTCGATGACGTTGTGACCGGTCGTCCACATACGGAGCGACGAAAACGAAAACGATTCCGACGTATGGACAATGCATACAAGCGTGGGTGGTGGTCAGTGGACACGAGGTAAGCAGCTCTCACTGCAATTATTGATTATCAGTGTATGTCACGGCAATGTATGCCAAGAATTGCGCTGTCGTCGGGATTAGCATTAGTTCATGCGCTTATTCATAGTCTTTAGGAAAGTTTATGAAGATTTTCGCACACCTGTAACACTCAGCCTAAATGTAAATAGATGAACGACTAACCTAGCAAATATGTAGCTTGTGTGAAACAGGAAATATTTGTCTTTTACTTCACTTTCGTATAAGGGCCTGATCTCAGATACGGTTGCATGACAAACGATTTTTGAAATTATTTTAAAAATTTTCAGGGAAAATCTCGAAGCAGTCAGAAGCAGTCTACATGGTCGAGGCATTCGTGAACGAATCTTACATCGTCTACTGTGCAAGTCGTGGTTTCTAAAGGACGTGAAGTTGGGCAGAGGTGAGCGTCAGCTTGAGTATAAACGCGTTTTTGGCGATGAGAATGTAGGCGGGGAATAATGTGGCTTGCAATCTCCCCTTTGGTCAATCCTTCGAGGCATTACCTATTCTCCAATGAACTTTTTCTAGTCTTCGCCCACTTTGATCGCGTAATGCCCCTCGAATCCCATAGAAATCGTATGCCTCTGGGCAGTTTCAGAGTAGTAAAGGTTTCGAAAATGGTCCTGTTTTTCAGCCTCAGCGACCTCCTTGAGATCGAGCTTTTGTTTTCAGTTGAGCTGGACAAAGTTGGCAAGGAGATCAGTCGGAAAGAAGTCACCGAGCTGAGCCAAGAAGCTGTTCATCGCCAATTGAACGAGCTGAATTCGAAAATAACCAGCGCTAAAATTGCCATAAAAGGTCCGTGCCTCTTTTGTTCGCTATTGTTTAGCTTATTTTGAGAATATTCAGAAAATTTATTCAATTTTAGGGTCTGCTAATAGTTTTATGAAGTCCGGCTGCAGTGGATCCATTGACGACTTGAAGGAGAAGATCTTCTGCTGTGAACGGCGAATCAACCGAAGCTTCCTTCGACCGAGTTTTTTCTGCGGGTGAGTGATAATTCCAAAGGTCTGAACAACAGTCAAGTGAACACAGTTATCAAATCGCTACATAGGGTACTTAAAGGATGTCCAGATTTCTCGAAAAAGGCTCATCCATTGACTACGCCATGCTTCCAACTTTTGTCCAAAACTTAGGCTCTCCTATACAGAACTACAACTTACGTAACGTGAGGAGAGTAACTTTTGAGTGAGCTCCATGGCTAACAGCAAAGACCGCTAATGTGCAGTCTTGTACTATCGGGAGCCCGAACTGGATCGGGATACCATTTGGCGAGAAACTACTAAAGAATTGTCACAAGCTGTGAATGGATCGGGCATGATGCCTGAAACTCGTTTTCCACAGAGCTTCATTAGCGAACTGGGGTAGGGAGAGATGGTACAACAGCTTTGGTGGGTTTACTCTACTCCCATACGTTCATGGCGGGATAGCCTTCATCAGTTCCTAATCATTAAATGGGCTGCCCTGACTTCTGAACGGAAAGGTGAGTCACGATCTGGGCGTCAACAATGTTGCTTAATTCTTACACCCATTAATCTAGCTCGGCAATTTTTAATTTCTGCCCTGTTGAAGGTTCAAGCAAAGAAAGCCTGTATGCCAGAAGTTAGGAGAGGAGAAAAGGGCCAACATTTTAAAAAATATGCTTATGTGCGTTTGTTCTAGAGACAAGAAGTCCCTGGCTCACTCGATGGTAATGAACGGTGAACAACTGGGAAAAGAAGATGAAGAGGATGATCGAGATGATGCAGAAAAGGATGAGGAAGGCTCGGAGCGAGATGAATTGGAAAACAGTCAGATGATCGAACGATGGCGAGCATACGTTGAATCTGCAGAGACATGTGCCAAGCTCTCGTTGGCTATACAGGTACTGTTTTTGTGAGTGATTTCTTCTGGCAGGCAAAATCGGAAGATTTGCGATTTCCATTTTGATTTTTCTTAGCTCTCAGATTGATCTAGGATTTTAAGTTGGCCTTCTGACTGTTTTGAATACATTTTTGAACTTTTCGAGCTTTGTTTCGGGTACTGGGGAAAATCAATAACATTCAACCAATCAATCAATGCGTTCCAGATGCTCAGCTCATCCGTAGCATGGGAATTGGCACCGACACTACGACTTTGTCAAATCTGTCGTAAACGCTGTGATCAGCCATCAGCACTGCGATGCACAGCGTGTCGTCTTAGTTATCACCAAGAATGCTGCAAGGTATTCAATTACCAATAGTTTAACTTCCAGGTTGAGGTACTGAGCTGATCTCTTTACTAAAATCCTAAACTCCACGATATACTGGGTTGTAGGGCATTGGATAGATCTGTCGTTAACAAATCCTACCGGAATTTTCCTTTAATGTGTTTCAAACGCGAATTCGTTTGGATGTGACTTCGAAGCCTATCAATCATCTTGGTGATTTCATGTAAGAATCGAAAGCACAGCTTATACCTGTCTTAATAAGAGGTCTTTCCTGTGAAATTAGCAACGACTTTTGATTTTGAGTAAGTAATTTACACAGAAGGAACCCTATCATAGAATGGAGGGAAGTAGTCCCATTATTAGCTTCTACATTCTACTTCTACTTCTACTGTATATGTCTAGATGTGCACCTACCCTTGCAGACACTACTGGGAATTTCTATCCCTATTCTATTGCCCAAACAGCAGGGCTAGCACGGCCGGTGGTTGAATTTCCTGGCTATTCAACCAAAAATGGCCCTTTTCACGACTGCTCCTAGTGGAGATTCAATGAGTCCTTTCAGTCGCCGCCGTCGCGTGAATGGTTCTGCCCAGCTTGTGTTGAGACGTCCACTCAAGTGCCAACATGCCTCGTTTGTTCACAACAGCATGACTACTTAACGGCTTGTCGGTTAGTTTTTCACTTGCCATTGGCTAGTTCTTCATCTGCCAATCGATAATTTCAATCGATGACACAAACTTTCAGTCAGTTTTCCAGCAGTATTCACAAAATCTGAGGGCATCTTTCTACCCGCAGTTTTTACCCAAAAATACTGACGCTCAAATATGAGCTCAAATGTTTTTTTTT